TTCCAGAAGGCCGTCATGGCCAGAAGAACTTTTTCATAGAGGTATAACGGTTGGGTAAAGAGGTAAATAGCCTTGTCGATCCCCTGTCGTCTCCACTGTTCGCCAAAAGTGGGGGAAAACCTGGAATACCAGGAACAGAAGGCTTCTTTCGGATCAGTCAAATGAGTTTTGATGTGGTCATTAACACGTTCAGGTTTGAATCGAGATGGTTGATGGCTAAGGGGGTGATTGAAGAAATTATGCTCCTCATGCGAGAAGCATCCTCGGAGGTAGTACAGTAGGGGCGAAGAGTTGGGGTAAGAACAACGGAAGAAACGAAAGGGATTTCTGGGTCAGAGCCATCGAAAGGCAGAGCGGGGACGTGCTGGTTGGCCATTGTTGCACAAGAATGAAGCTCGAGTGCTGAGAGAAGAAGGAGCTTTAGCGAAGAGGAGAAAATGTATTTGGAAAATGGAAGGCGTAGGGAAGATGACGAAAGTTGAGGGGTTTTAAGTGGGGTTTTTGCAAAACCCCGTGATTGGACAGCGCAATGATGAACAGACTCCCTAAAAACGTCACATCTCACAGTAATCGACAAGTGACGGCAGGGAATCGGGCGGGGGAGGCAAATTGTTATATATTAAAATATTCTAGGGTTTTTATTGGGCCTATAACTGGATTTTAACGTTTGGGCCCGCGGATAAACCCAAAAAAGAATGTAGGCCTTTGAATACCTATTGAAGGAAAAGGTAAGCCAGTCGGTAGCTTGGTTGATCGGTTGGTCAGTCGCTTGGTCGATCGGTGGGTCAGTAGCTTGGTTGGTCGGTTGATCAGTCGCTTGGTTGGTCGGTTGGTCAGTCGCTTGGTCGATCGGTGGGTCGGTAGCTTGGTTGGTCGGTTGGTCAGTCGGCAGCTTGCCTGGTCGACTGGTCGGGTGGTGGCATGGAATACAAGCAAGGAGCGGTTCTTAGGCGGTTGTAACCGCGAAGTAGTTTTTTGTCAGTTACAACCGACTGCGCGCACGATCCGATAACTGACTTGGAGGGCATATAACAAGCAAGTCGCGTCCGGCAGAGGGCATCTTCAATCAGCATCAATTTCAGTGAAAATTCGCTTTGGGGATCATCTTTTATTTCTTTTTCAGTATCTGTTTGCTTTAAATTTTCTTGCATTTTGTACGGTATTTAGGGATTTTCAATCCCAGATATTATTGTAGTCAAATTTGAATTTTCGGATTTTACTTTTTATTGTTGGTTGAAAAAAGCATCAACAATATTATTATATAAATTGGATAATTATGATATTACAATGAGGGTTAATGTTGGTAAACTGATTTTTTAGTACCGTAACTGAACCTTGTAAATGGAGGTTGTCTTAAAATAGTCTTGTAATTGAAAATATGTCGCAATTTAGTCCTCAGTGTCTACGTGGCACCTGTATGACATGCTTACGGACACATGTCGGTCAGATCAGCGCCATGTGGTTGACCCGTGTCCGCCACGTGAATTATTTTAATCTTTTTATATATAAAAGTTACAAATATAAAACTAAAAATAAAACTAAAAATAAAAATAAAACTTATTCATATGTCAAATCAGCGTCACGTGACCTTTAATAATTTATATATTAGTATATTCTTTATATTTTATATTTTATTTTTAATATAAAAAATATAAAATTATTCACATAGTAGCTATGTGGCGCTGATCCGACCGACATGTGAATAATTTTAAATTTTTTATTTTAAATTTTTAAATTTTATTTTTTTATATATTTTATATTTTTAAATTTATTTTTTATTTAAAAAATAAAATTAAAATTGTCCACGTGGCATACATGTGTAAGCCACGTGGCGCTGGTCAGGCCGACACATGTCCGTCAGCATGCCATGCAGATGGCACTTAGGTACTGAGGATTAAATTGAGAAAAAAATTCACTTATATGACTATTTTAAAACAATCTCTAATTACGCAACTAAAATGATAAAATTATTTAATTACGAGATTAAAAAAACAGCTAATCATATAATATATTAAATTAATGATATATGAAAATAATATAGTAAGAATTAATTTATTATATTTTGAAGATAATGACGATGGAATCGATGATAAGGATGATGCTGATTAATAATAATAATAAAATTATCATATAAAATAAAAACAAAAATGAATTTTTAAACAAACCCTTGCCACGAAGGCACGAGGCATATTGGGGAGAAATTAGAAGAAAGGAAGAAAAAGTATTGTTCGATTTTATTTTATTTTTGGTATTGTATTCCTTCGTGTGAGTAGAATTTGATTATTATTTTAAATACGGTTTAAATTATCTATTTTACAAATCAAACATTTGAAAAAATTCTTCAAATATTTATAATTGAATATTTAACTATCAAATCATGATCATTTTTAAATTATTATGTTAGATATAACTTCAAGTTTATATTTGGAGAATTTCATATTAATCCGAATTTAAGTTATTTTGGCAGTATCTTAGACATGTCTTCTTGTTCATAACTTTAAATATATTTATTTTAAAATATCTCCATCAAAATGATATTATATTTACGGCTTTTAAGTTATTTTGGCAGTATCTTAGACTTGTCTGCTTATTTATAACTTTAAATATTTTTATTTTAAAATCCGTCAGTCAAAATGATATTAGGTATTAGGCTTTTATGATTGCAATATAGTATTTTTATCATAAAAAAGAATTTGAAAACCAATGGATTAATTTTGAAATTCATCATTTGAGCAAGCTAGTAGTTCATTTGAATAATCAGGTAGCTCATCTTCTGTGTTAACAAACTATATTTACAAGTTCATAACATGATCCGACTTTATTTAAATCGCATGAAAGTGAATATATTGGGAAATTAATAGTTGATATTACATGATAATGAAATCATTAATCTAACTCGGAAAAGAATAATATATGTATTCTGCTTCCAAAGGTAGCTAGCTGTCTGTCGCAAGAATGTACTAGTAGTCTCATTGATAGCTCGAAATCGCATGTGTTTTATGTTTATATCATATGCGATATTTGATTAATTTTGATTGAATTCTACCTAATTTATGTGTGTATTGTTTATTTTCGACATACATGAGAGAAAAAGCCAATTTGGTGAATTTGGAGAATAATAAAAGAAAACATCAGCATTGGACAATGAATTTAGTCATGACCATGACTAACCAAATCCTCATAACATGGGAATTTAACTAAAGGCCAAAAGCTCAACTACAAAAAATTACGACAAAATTAAATAAAAAGAAAGGGGAGTCTCACAAAAAAACAAGGAGAATGGCCAGAAGCAGATACCCATAGGAGTAGGAGACTGACAGATTCATACATCGCACAGGAGCAAATCGACAGAGAAGATTTCTCTTCAAACTATGACTTTATCATTCCTTATTGTTCTTTGTTATTTGATTATGAAGTAAATATTTTTTTTCTGGTTTGAGGATGATAATGTTTTGGTTCTTGTGTTTTGAAGATTCTTGACTTTCTTTATACAAGTTCTTTTCGATTATCAATATTTGTTTAATCCTGAGAATAGTTTTTGTGATTGTTAGATTGATTGGATATTTTGGTACCGATATTTAAATTGGTCTGATAATGTAAATTTAATTCAGGTAGGATATTTTGGTACCGATATTTAAATTGGTCTGATAATTGTATTCGCACTTGAATACGTGACAACCGGGTTGAATAGTTCCTTCCCGGGGGTTAGACAATCAAATCTAATTGTTCCTCTTAGGTAGTAATTGTTTTGGATTGGATTTTTCTAGATTAGAATGCGATTAGGCAATATTTTCTATGGGCATACCTAGGTTTATTAGGTTAATTAAAGATAGTTAACAGTCGTACCTTAACTACCTACACTGTAAGGAAAAATTGGTTGTCAGAGTTTGTTGATAACTATAACCAATTTATTGATAGTCTAATAAAAACTAACTTTATTGAATTGATGATAAAACACAAGTGTCATAACTACATCATCCCTTGAGCCAAACATCCCCTTAATAGCTAATTCCCCGTTAATTTAATTGTTTTGTTATTTTATCTTCATTAGATAATAAAATAAACTTCCTCCATTTATTTACTGCATTAGAACACGAAAGAGTGAATTACACAATCCCTGTGGAGAGGATCTCTTCTCCTGTATTACATTAAATTGTGATCATAGAGTAGGTGAAATATTTGATTGACCGTGCGACCGGTCAAGTTTTGGCGCCATTGCCGGGGATTGGCGCTTTGTTTTACCCTTTTGTGTTGTTTATTTGCTTTATTTTCATTCATCATTCTGTTAATGGCCCGTTCTTCTCGTACAAGTGAATTGAAACCTAATCTTGAGATCGAGAAGGTTGGGTAAAAGCTGCGAAAGGAAGCTAAACAACAAAAAGCTGCTTAATTTGCAAAGCTGTCCGATTCTTTAAATCACCTCAGATTCTCTAGCTCTAGCGACTCTGAAAGTGATCAAGAGACTGTCATGGCTGAAGATACCCGCACTCTAAGGGGGTTGGCTGCTCCCAACTTGACGCAGCAGTCCTTATGCATTAACTTTCCAACTTTGATTAACTTTATTGCTTTTGAATTGAAATTTGGCTTAATTCATTTACTGTCTTCTTCTTTTCATGGACTTGCAGGGAAAGAACCTCACAAACACTTGCAAGAGTTTGACGTGGTGTGCTCCAGCATGAAACCACCAGGTGTTACTGACGAACAAATCAAAGTCAGAGCCTTTCCATTCCCACTCAAAGATGCTTCAAAGGGTTGGCTCTACTATCTCCCACCTGGAAGCATCGACACGTGGAAATAAATGAAAAAAGAAATTTTTGGAGAAGTATTTTCCGACTTCCAGAGCTGCGATTCTTAGGAAGGAAATATGTGGCATCAAGCAACAACCAAGTGAAACGCTCCATGAATATTGGGAGCGATTTAATAAGCTTATGATTAAATGTCCACGACACCAAATTTCTCCACAATTATTGATTCAATATTTTAATGGTAGTTTGTCATTGATGGACAGGAACACCATTGATACTTCAAGTGGTGGAACTCTAGTAAATAAGATGCCAGAACAAGCTTGGGATCTTATTGCGAGGATGGCTGAAAACACGCAACAGTTTGGTTCGAGGGACATTGGACAGGCGAGCGGAAACAACAACGATCATTCTATCCAATCAATGAAGCAACAACTTTCTGAGCTGACAAGCTTTGTGCGCAAGATGGTCGTGGAAAAATCTAACCCCGAGTGTCCAGGTCAAGGCACGTGAAATATGCACAAATGCAAGCCACCGTACGGATTCATGCCCAACCCTCCAAGAAGGATATGCAGTGGATGTAAATGCTACAAACTATGGTGTGAATTGATAGCTAAAAATCGCATGCATTTTATGTCCATAACATATGCGATATTTGATTGATTTTGATTGGATTCTACCTAATTTACATATGTATTGTTTATTTGCTGTGTGCAGAGGGAAAATATCAAATTTGGCATAATTGGCAGAAGAAGTAGAGAAAAATTCATATTTGCACCACCTAGCTAGTCATGGCCATGACTAACTATACCCTCATGACATGAGAATTAAATTGAAGACCCAAAAGCCTAGCTACAAAATAATTAGGGCAAAAATTAAATAAAAGGGGAAGGGATCACACGTTTCAAAAGGGGAGAACGGTCATAGCAGATACGCACAAGAGTAGAAGACTGACAGACTCATAGATCGCGCAGGAGCAAATTGATAGAGAAGATTTCCCCTCCCACTATGACTTTATCTTTCTCTTTTGTTTTTTGTTATTTGATCATGGAGTAGATACTTTTCTGGTTTAAGGGGTGATAATGTTTTGGTTCTTTTGTTTTGGATATTCTTAATTTTTTTTATAAAAGTTCTTGTTGATTATCAATATTTGTTTAATTATGAGAATAACGTTTGTGATTGTTAGATTGATTGAATATTTTGGTACCAATATTTGAATTAGTCTGATAATCTAAAGTCAATTCAGGTAGGATTACCGTAATTGTATTCGCACTTGAATACGTGACAATCGGGTTGAATAGTTTCTTCCCGGGGGTTAGACAATCAAATCTAATTGCTCCTCTTCGGTAGTAGTTGTTTTGAATTGGATTTTTCTAGATTAGAATGTGATTAGGCAATATTTCTTATGGGCGCACCTAAGTTTATTTGGTTAATTAGGGGTAGTTAACGGTCGTACCGTAATTACCTACACTGTAAGAAAAAATTGATTGTCAGAGCTTGTTGATAACTATAACCAATTTATTGATACTTTAATAAAAACTAACTTTATTGAATCAATGATAAAACATAAGTGTCATAACTGCATTATCCCTTGAGCCAGACATCCCGTTAATAGGTAGTTCTCCCTTAATTTAATTGCTTTCTTGTTTTATTTTCAATAGATAATAAAAAAAAATTTTCCCCAATTATTTACTGCATTAAAACACGAAAGAGTGAATCACACAATAAGGTTAAAAAAAAAAATCCAAAATCATAAGCCAGACCGCCTCTCTCTCTCTCTCCTTCTCTTTTTTTTCTTCTCTCCTCCGTCTCGCCGAACCCGTCGCCCTCCTCTTCTTCTTCTTCTCTGATACCCCAGCGACGATAGCCACCAAACCAGAACGCCTCCATCTCGACTCCGCCGTGATCCTCCCTGTCTTTTTCCTCCCCGCCTTCGCCGATCGTCTTCTGCACAGACGATCTCCGCCAATCCAGCCGCACACCGCCGCCTCCTCCCGACGCCACCGCCGATTGCCCACCGTCCCCCGCCGTCCTTCTTCTTCTTCTTTTTCTTCTTCGTCTTCTTCCTTTTTCCCCTCCCTCTCCGCCGCGATTCCGCCCTCCGGCGCGACTCCTTCCAGAGTCGCCGTTTTCGTCCGAACCAAGATGCTCTCTGCCTCCGACGCCGTGATCCAACCGTCAACTGCCTCTGCCTTGGTCGCGCCACCAAGCTGCGTGAGTCCAGCCGCCTCCGTCGTCCAACCACCGCCTCACTCCACCGCACAGCAATCGCGATTAGGTAACATCATTTCACCCTGTTATGTCTAATACTTTCAATTTGGTAAATGTTGTCTTGGATTATTGCTATTGGTATTTGGACTGCAAATTTGGTATCGAGTTGGTTAAACTTGAAGTTTGGGACTTGGTGAAGTTTATGTCAATTCTCCTATGCAATGATAGCATCTTGGCATTTGATTTTTTTTTCGTTGCTAGTTCAATTTTGGAGATACTATGCCTTGGATTAGAACAATTGATACTCTTGAACTTAAAAGTGCAATCTTATTTGTTCGAATCTCTTTCGATTTTGGATATATTCCAGGATTAGTGAGATTGATGGTTTGGATTGAATGTTGGACTCTATTTGCTGCATATTTCATACATACATAAAGCAATTTCTATAGCCTGATCGATCATTGTCATTGCATCACTCATTTTTGTCATAATTGAACTGAAATTTGAGTTCTCCTTGCTGTGGTTGTCGGGTGTTGTCACTTTGTGCTTTGAAATTTTCATGAGAGTCTTGGGTAAATGACACCTCATTCTTTGATGACTAGTTAGATCAAGTATCACTCTCTTTTGGAATAGTTTGGGTTGGTTAGTTATTTCTATAGGACTCATGAGAACTTCAAGTCTTGTCTTAATGTGGTGCACAACCAAATCCAAATCCAATGGCATTGGCAAGTAAAGTAAAAGCTCGCAATTACTCCTTCTCTTACGGACTCCAGGGAAGTTCCTCTCTTGTTTTACTTCTTTTTACATTGAGGACAATGTATGCATTAGGTGTGAGGAGAGAGTTATGCAAATTTTTGGACAATTTTCATTTTGTGCTACTTTTATAGCTGATTTTCTATTCTTTCGCATGTTTTTTATATTAGTCTGAAGTGAGTCAAATGTGGTTTGTGTGATGGGTTTATCTAGCATGACCAATGACATTTGATTGGTTATATGTTGAGTCAAGTCGACGTTTGAACCCCGTGAGATTTGAGCCTATGTTCCAGAAGTTACACTAGAAAATAAATTGCATATATTCAAACTTTTGGAAATTTCTTTCTTGTGAGATATGTAGTGCTCAATTAGATGACTTAGAACTTGAGTGATTATGCATGTTGAACTTGCAACTATCGAGTCTTGCATTTTGAAAAGGATAAGGGCATTAGGTAACTCCATTAAGCCTTTATTTATTACTCAGCACAATATATTCCCCTAATTAGCCCATTTGAGGATTCTTAGCCTACTTTTTCTTTATAACAACCTGTCTTTTAGCCTCGTACCATTCTTTTGATTAAGCTCCGATTTGAACCCTATGTTGGAAATAATTACTCTAAGTTCATGTTGTGATACACTTTATTTCTTCGGTACTGGTCAGAAATGAAATTTGGGTACGAATGAATCATAGTATACATGAATGATTGTGGGTAGTGTAAGTATTTATATATATATATAATGGCAAAAGTCAAAAAAAAAAAAAAAAATCAATCAAAAAAATCAAAAAAATAAAAAAAAAAGGAAAAAATAATAATAAAATAATAATAATAGTTGTTGATGCTGATTTTCAACAATAAAAAGTGAAATCCAAAAATAGAAATTATCTTCGAATTTGATTAAAATAAATGCTTGAGATTAAGAATCCCTAGACACCGTACGATACATAAGAAAAAATTGAAAAGAAATATTACAAACCGTAAAAGTAAAATGATGATCCCTAAAAGAAATTCACTGAATTTGATGTCGATTGATGATGCCCCTTTTAGGTCGTGAAAAGACCTATTTAAAAACCCATGTCAACCGACCAAATGTCGTTATCAGATCGTGCCTTCATATCCGATTTCCAGTTGTAACTTCTTCTAACCGCCTTGGAACTGTTTTTCATCCGACCTGCACGTCTACTACTTCATCTCCCTTTGCCCGTCTTCCATTTGTCCGACCTCCACATCGGCCGCCTCATCTTTCTTCGTCCGACTTCCCTTTGTCCGACCTCCATGCCTATTGTCTCACTTTCCTTCGTCCGACCTCTCCTTGTCCGACCTCTATATCCACCGATCACTTAGTCACAGGTTCTCCCGAAAAAGCCCATTTTTCTAAATAACGCCTAGACCATACCCAAACTCATAGTCTAATTTATCAGCCTATTCTCGAAAAACCCTACACATTGGTTTTTCTTACTCAACAATAGTAATAAATAAACAAATAAATAATAAAACTTGATGAAGTATTTCTATTTAATTATATTATTGAAGTTTGGGTAGTGAATAAAGTAAGGATTTCATTGTTTATGCCGATTTGTTCTTCATGTGCTAGCATCATGTTCTTATTGTGTTCTTTTCTGACATATTTTAGCATTTGTATATCCTTTTCCTTACCCTGATCATACGCCCCACTACAACCCTTATTGAAAGTCTGTTTGATTCTTTATGTTAGATTTGAATATTTAAATAAATGAGATTTGATTTTTACTCAATCCTATAGGATAGATAATCTTTTGTTGCACTACCTGAGTGTTGAGTCAATTATATATTTAATTCCTTCAGAGAGCATGTGCGAATACACTTTATCTAGTGAGGTTAACTTGGCTTGATGTGTTGGATTTCGGATTGAACTGGTTGTATTAGATTCTATTGTCATATTGAGTCGTCTGCGATTTCTTTGGCTTATTTTGAATCTATGCTTGAGGGCAAGCATGATCTAGGCGTGCGGAGAATAGATAGCTAGATATCGCATGCGTTTTATGTTCATATCATATGCGATATTTGATTGATTTTGATTGGATTCTACCTAATTTATATGCATATTGTTTATCTGCTGTGTGCAGAGGGTAAATATCAAATTTGCCATAATTGGCAGAAAAAGGAAAGAAAAATTTAGATTTGCACCACCTAGTTAGTCATGGCCATAACTAACTATACTCTCCAATTTACTCCATTAGAACACGAAAGAGTGAATCACACAATCCTTGTGGAGACGATCCCTTCCTCTGTATTACATTAAATTGTGATTACGAAATAGGTGAAATATTTGATTGACCGCGCGACAAGTCATGAATGGACCTCCAGTGTACAACCCATACTCCAACACCTACAATCTAGGCCGGAGAAATCAACCGAACCTGCACTATGGAAACGCGCAACAAAGTAAAAATCCTCAACCATTCGGAGCTAAGTAGCAAATACAACAACCTCATTTCTATGAAAAACAACCGCCCCAAGCACCCACAAGCAACTCCAGTTCGTCTTTGGAAGACTTGGTAAAGTCTATGGCTACCACTACCCTGCAGTTCCAACAAAAGACGAAAAAGTTCCAACAATAGATGAGTTTGACCATTGACAAATTACAAGGTTAGATCAATCAAATGTCAGACGAGGTAAAATAGCTACATGAAAGAGGAAAGTGGCCCGCTCAGTCTAAGCCAAATCGAGAAAATGTCGGTGCCATCACTATTTGCAGTGACACGATGTTTGAATGTCCTTCCCGACCTAATCCAAAGAATACGAATGCTATAATACTCCGTAGTGGGAAGCAAGTGGATGGTCCAACTCTTATCTCAAAGGAGCAAAGCGAAGAGAAACGTAAAAATGAGATGCAAAGGAAGCTGAGATCCATGAAAAAGTACATCCAAATTTTATTTTTCCTACTGAAACTAAATCGGCTCGTTTCGCTGACATGTTGAAGAAACAACAAAAGACAAACAAACGAAAAGAGATGATGAAGATTTTTAAAAAAGCGGGAACTTAATATCCCGCTCCTGGAAGCTATCAACCAAATTCCCAAGTATGCAAAATTTTTTAAAGAACTGTGCACCAACAAGAGAAAATTGCGAATGAGTAAATTATAGTGGGTGAAAACATTTATGTTGTTTTCAAAAGAAATGTACCACCTAAAACAGGTGATCCATGTATGTTCTCTATCCCTTGTAATATTGGAAAAGCTGAGATAAGTAAGGCTATGCTAAATCTAGGAACTGCTATTAATGTCATACCACGATCAATATGTGACTCTTTAAATCTAGTGCATCCAAAAGAAACAAGAATTATTATTTAACTTGTTGATCGAACCAATGCTTATTTTGATTGTATGATAGAAGATATACTCGTTCAAGTGAATGACTTAATTTTTCTTGTTGATCTTATATTTTGGATATGCATGATGCACACTACTTTAATCCACTGCCTCTTTTGTTAGAAAGACCTTTTATGTGAACTGCAGGAGTGAAGATAGATGTTAAAAAAAAAGCACACTCGGCTTGGAGTTTGATGGAGAAGAATTTCATTTCAATAGATTTAATCTCATCAAATATCTTGTTCAATCTGAATCGTTATATGCAATTAATATTATTAATCATGTGGTGTAGGAAACCTATGAATTTGGTGATGAGAAAAAACGAAATACTTTGTTGACAAAGTAGTTAGAGAAAAGAACAATTGAAGATATGACAACGAGTAAGAGAAAAAAAAGGATTGTCGAAAAGTTGAGTGGGATTCCCAAGGGATCACCATTGTTGGCCGCAAAAAAGTGCTATAAAGTGAATCAAAATTTTAAAGCGAAGAAAAAGTATGGCCAATAGACATCGCTTCAAATTATGCCACGAGGGACCCTCACTTGATCCTATGAAGTCGGCACCCTTTGCTGATTTTGATGTTCAGAATTGATGCGAGATAAAATCTAGCTTAAAGACTAAAGAAAAGCAATTTTTGGGAGACAACCCAAACTATTTAAATGCTTTCTTTAATTTTTATTGTTTGCTTGTATTTTTATTGTTTTAATGCTAATAATACTTTTGATGGTTTTGTGCAGGTCTTTTGGAAACTAATTACTGGCTCTTGGCGTAGGCGCATCGATTTTCTTATATCTCGGAAAAAAAAAAAAAGAAAACAATTCAGGCCAAGAGGTGACTATTAATCATGGTCATGACTAATTGGCACCTCCCATACTGTTTTTTCACCCAACCTTCCTTTACCCATTTTGAATAAGAGATATTGTTTAGTCATAATCATGACTAAACACCCCCGACATAGTGCTTGCCTTCTTTAGCCCTATCAAAGTTTAAACCCTAAATTAAATTTAATTCCCAAACCATCCTGAATCGCTAGACCGGCCTACCTCTTTCTCTTCGCGAAGCCGTCCGCGCACACAGCCGACGACGACAGCACCGGTGACTCCATCCTCTATTCCTCCCTTTTTCTTCTCCTTCTCCAGCCGACGACCACCCTCCACCCTACCTTCCACCGCGATCTCCCAGCCATCGTTGCGCGGCCCCACCGCCGAACCGGTTCGATCAAACCGAATCGCGGCCGCGACCCTACCACTGACGCCGCAGCGACATCCCTTACCAAACGGGTTCTCCACCCCGTCAACCGACCCGAACCGAACCGCCCAGTCCCCCTTCCCCCTCGTCTTCTTATTCTTCCTCCAGCCTTCGCCAACTTCTTCCGCCAGACCGCTCCAGCCGCCAGCGTCGCTGTCACGACCGCCACCTTCATCCTCCAACCGAACTAGACCAAGCCGCTCCAGCCGCTGATCGTTTCTTCAGCCGCCGACCGGGCGACACCAGCCAGCACAGCCCGCCACGTCGACTCCTGCTCGCCCAAACACCAATCCGGAAATTTGGTAATATCTCTCCATCTTTTTGCTGCTTTTAATTTTGATATGTGCTGCATAAATTTAATCGATTTGATTTTCTGCAATGGAACTTGAAGTTGATTTGTGGTTGATTATTTTCTTTAATTATTGGGATAAATTGGCTTGGCTCACTACAATTGGTGTTCTGGACTTGAAAGTGAAATAGAATTTTTTGATGCTAAGAGAATTTTCTGTAAGTTTTTGGGTGCAATTGATTGCAGATTGTGGTTATACATTTGATTTTGATTGATCATAGTCAAATTGCATCTTAATCTTTTGTTGGATATCTTCTTGTGGTTTGGGACACTTGCTTTAGTTGGACTGAAAATTGAATTCTCGTGGATTCTCGATGCTATTTTCTTATTTACTCGTGTGCTATGATGCTTCTTTTGTGTCTAAATTGAGAAAAGCATTTGACTAGTCCATCACTATCACTCTTTTTCTTTGGATAGTTGCTTCGGCTAGTTTGTTTTTGCAGAACTCGTGAGACACTTCAAGCCTTGTTTAAAAGTGGCACATGACCAAATGATAAAGCGTTGGCAAGGCAAACATGGAACACACTGTCGCACCCCTTGGAATCCAGGGAAGTTCTTTTCTTTTCTTACTTTTTCTTTACATTGAGGACAATGTATGCTTTAGGTGTGGGGAGAGTGATGCAAAACTATTGGGCAAAATTTTCATTCCGTTCTACTTTTAATGTCTGATTTGTTGTCCTTTTACATGTTTTTGCGATTAGTTTGAATGAGTCAAATGTGATTTGTGTGATAGGTGTGTCTAGCATGACTAATGACATTTGTTTGGTGATATGTTGAGTCATGTCGACGTTTAAACCCTGTGAGATTTGAGCCTATGTTCCAAAAGTTACATTCGAAAATAAACTTAATATTCAAGCTTTTGGAATTTTTTTCATGTGTGATTTGTAATGCTCAATTAGATGACCTAGAATTTGAGTGATTATGCATGTTGAACTTGCAACTATCAAGTCTTGCATTTTGGAAATGATAAGGGCATTAGGTAACCCAATTAAGTCTTTCGTTATCACCTAGCACAATAATTTTTTCCATTTAGCCCATTTGAGTCTTACCCTATTTTTCTTCTATAATAACCGTTTTTTAGCTTAATACCCTTCTTTTGATTAAGCCTTCTCCGATTTGAACCCTATGTTAGAAAGAATTACTTTAAGTTTATATTGTGATACACTTTATTTCTTCGGCACTAATTAGAAACAAAATTTGGGTACGAATAACTCATAGTATGCTGGAATGATTATGGGTAGTAAGGTATCTTTATATAAAGGCCAAAAGACCAAAAAAAATGAAAAAAGAAAAGAATAAAAAAAAAACAAAAAGAAAAAAAGAAAAAAATAATCATCTTAATGAAGTATGTTTATTTAATTAGTGTTGAACCAATTATACACTTATTCCTTCAGAGAGAATGTGCGTATACGCTTTATCTTGTGAGGCCGACTTGGCTTGAAGTGTTGAATTTCGGATTGAATTGGTTGTGTTTGATCCTCTTGTTATATTGAGTCGCCTGCGATTTCTCTTGCTTATTTCGAATCTATGCTTGAGGGCAAGTATGATCTAGGTGTGAAGAGAATTGATAGCTCGAAATTGCGTGCTTTTTATGTTTATATCATATGCGATATTTGATTGATTTTGATTGAATTCTACATAATTTCTGTGCATATTGTTTATTTTCGACATGCAGGAGGGAAAAGACAAATTTGGTGAATTTGGAGAAAAATAAAAGAAAAAATCAGCATTGGACAATGAAATTAGTTATGACCATGACTAACTACATCCTCTTGACATGGGAATTTAATTAAAGACCCAAAAGCCCAACTACAAAAAATTATGGCAAAATTGAATAAGAAGAAGGAGAAGTCACACAGAAAAGCAGAATGGCCAGAAACAGATACGCACAGGAGCAAAAGAATGACAGATTCATAGATCGCGCAGGAGCAAATTATTTATCTTCAGACTATGACTTTATCTTTCCTTATTGTTCTTTGTTATTTGATGAAGTAGATATTTTTCTGATTTGAGGGATGATAATGTTTTGGCTCTTGTATTTTGAAGATTCTTGACTTTTTTTATACAAGTTTTTTATTATCAATATTTGTCTAATCCTGAGAATAATGTTTGTGATTGTTAGATTGATTAGATGTTTTGGTATCGATATTTAAATTCGTCTGATAATCTAAAGTTAATTCGGGTGGGCTATCCGTAATTGTATTCACACTTGAATAGTTGACAACCGGGTTGAATAATTCCTTCCCGGGGGTTAGACAATCAAATCTAATTATTCCTCTTAGATAGTAATTGTTTTGTATTGGTTTTTTCTAGATTAGAATGCGATTAGGCAATATTTCCTATGGGCATACCTAGGTTTATTAGTTTATTTAGAGATAGGCAACGGCGTACCTTAACTACCTACACTGTAAGAAAAGATTGGTTGTCAGAGCTTGTTAATAGTTATAACCAATTTATTGATAGTCTAAAAACAAATAACTTTATTGAATTGATGATTAAACACAAGTTCTTTGCTAATTTAATTGTTTTGTTATTTTATCTTCATTAGATAATAAAAGAAATTTTTCCCTTTTATTTAATGCATTAGAACATGAAATAGTGATTCACACAATCGATGTGGAGACGATCTCTTTCCCTGTATTACATTAAATTGTGATCACAGAGTATGTGAAATATTTGATTGACCGTACGACCGGTCACTCATACTGGTCAAGCTCATTAGCTTGATCTGCCTACCGAAACGGATAAGTAATTATATGGAAATAACATACACTTAATCACAACTTAATTGTTGTATTCAAAAATATAATTTTGATGGCTTAATAATTGTATCATCGTGATTCAATATCAAATACGAACGCATTATACCTCTTTGTTGGGAGCTTGAAAGTGATGTGATCCACTTGGTTTTTCATTGCTTTTATTTCGTGAATCTCATATCTTATACATGTAGCATGACTTCTATGTGTGGATTTTTTTATTTCTACTGTTATTTGCGATGTACAGTAGTGCTAGGCAAGGGTACCATCATGCATACGTATATTGATGAAACGTTATAATATGCAATAACAATAGTTAGTCGGACAACCGATTGACCTATGTTGCAGGGTTCTTCGGGGATTAGATTTGGTTATTTATAGCCCTATCTAATCATTATCGTGCAGGTGTTGGTCCACTCATTAGATTTGCACCTAATGAGGTCTACCGGTAGTTCAGGATCATTGGCCAATTCCAAACACGATCCTGAATGGGCGCGCTATGAGGAGTAGAGTTTTTGGGTTCCCTTTGGGTGATTCATGGGGTGCAAGAATTCCACTACCATATACGGGATAGATCTCTGGATAGGTCTATCTTCGCTACCACGAGCTCTAGATAGTTCTATGGTTAATGGCGATACATGTCGGCTATCCATATGATTGATTGGCATACTTCTATTATTTATACTTTGTTGGTTATGCTTTTGATGTTGGGCCTGGATGCCTACCTCATTATATTAGACTTTTTATATTATTTCTTGAGATGCATTCTTTTTTATTTTTTTGCCTTATCTCGTGCTATTGATGATGTTCGGAGGCATTTTGGATAATGCCGATTTTTTATAGGTGGCTTTACTTGCTACCAATATTAAATAATGGAAAATTTATGTTGAAAGAATATGAAAGGTTTTATGCAATGCCCAATATCACAAATATATATCAAATCAAACCTTCCTTGTATCATGGAGTTTGTTTTTATTGGCTCCTCGTATCTGTAAACGGAATAAATATAACGGAGAATCAATGAGGTAATCATAACACATGTATCATCAAAATTATAAATGTGCATGATTTTAATTGTATTAACTTGTGTAATTTTATTCTACTTACTCAGCTATTTGCCGATGTTAAATCTACATTTTGTAGGTAATCTGGGTAAGAAGAACTTGCCCAATGCATCATGATGGAATTTATTCGGGGTTGAGAGCACCTACTTAATCATTTATTCATTATTATTTTATTTATAATAGTCTAATCATCTTAATTGTGAGTAGAGACACCGGCAACACTCCCAAGTGAATTTTATAGGACATGGAATTCATCGCATTCTATGATTATAATGTTGTTAGTCATTGATTTTTCATTATTTTTGAAATATTAATAAATAAAAATATTTTGTAGAAAATTATATATGTACATTCTTAATAAATACTCTCTCTGTTCCGCTACAATTGACACTATTTCCATTTTTGTCTGTCCCGTAACAATTGACACATTTTTATTTTTGGTAAAAATTATTAAACCAAAACATATTTAACAAATATAAATCAACTTAATTAACTACATAACATACAACATCATAAATGACGTAGGACCCATTCAAAACCCCTTTATTTCTACCTCTCTCCTCAAAAAAATAAATATTTTTATCTATATTTAAAACTAAACATCTTTTATAAAATTAATTTATGTTAATTATAAATAAATAAAAAAAATATTTTTTTATTTACTTGTATTATAGAAGATTTTATTCTCTACAAAATGATATCCATATTGCATATATTTTTTAATTGCTATATGATTTTAAATATTTAAACATATATTAAAAATTTTTTAATCATATATATTAAATTTATTTTTTAAAACTATAAATATTATTAATTATACAAAAAATAATATAATAATATCATAACTAATTATTATTAACTAATTAAACATCCTTTCCTTAAATATCGTGTCCCTAATTAAAAAGTTCAATTCCGGTGGGACGGATGGAATATATCTATATAATTTTAATAGATTCTACTGTATTCTTAATAATATATATCAAAATTTGTTACAATCTAGCGACGAGGTTATGTCGCAAACGAGAGAACTAGTATGTATATATATTATATCTCACCAAACCTAATCCAATTAAGATTCCATCTCATCCTTCAATTATCTTTATCCAAAACTAGAATAATTTCAATCGAACATTGCGCGTACGGGCTTGTGAACTCGGGCCTGGGCCTCCAACCGGGCTGCTCTATTATGGGCCTTTATTTATTTATAAATTTGGGCCAAATAAGTGGGTGGTTTCTTCTTCTTTTGTCGAGCTCAAATAACTCTGTTGGAAATATATTTTGTGAAATAACATACTCCCTCAATTCTATTTCAAAATATTCTTTATATCATTTTCATCTATCCCATTTCGACGTATCCTTTTGCTTTTTTAGTAAAAGTAATTATATACAAATACAAAAATATTCATAATTTTTTAAATTACAAACATACCAAAGCAATTATATACAAATACAAAAATATTCATAATTTTTATTTAAATTACAAACAACCATTACACATACACTTACTTTTTAAGTAAAATTAGAGGACAAAAATGTCAAATCTTCTTATACGCTACCATAATTAGTAAAACACTATTATTTATTAATTTTCTACAAAATTCCAAAGAGCCATTTCAGAGGGAGTATATATTTGGATAAAACAATTAAAAAGAAAAATTGGCATAACTAGGCTAGATGGAATAATGTATTATTAGCTTCTAATAAAAAATGAGTTGTTTAATTTATTTTATTTTTATATTTATATATTAAAATGTTTTCATAGATCTGCAGCTTATTGATTCTGGATGATAAGAATAGTGATAGTGAGAGTAATAGAAATAGAAATAGAGATAGAGATGTAAGCTACGACGGCAATAGGAAAATGTCAAATTGAAATGAACTTATACAAGAGGACTAACCTTATACAAGAGAAGAGCCATCGTACATCACAACTGCACTGTCCAAGAATCACCATAACTAATTTAATTTCTCTGTTTTGCTTTTCTTTCGGAAATAGAGAGATAAGATTTGATCAACTGATGTGAAGATATATGCAAAAGTAGGGTTCAAGCAGCTAAGTCACCAAGGACACACACATATATAATCGAAAATAAAACAAGCAAATGATTAAGAATCCAAAACGTGAAATTGAGAAAAAAGCCAGAGACTTACATGATAACTGCTTTTGCGGAATCTGATTTCTATCATCGATTTTTCTGCACCACACACACTAGTTATGAGTATTTCACAAAAAATGATACGTGCTACATTAATAATACAAGTAGCTAGAAATAAAACGAATAACAAAGATCAAATCAAAACAAAAGGCATGTTGAGATTTAGCAATTTTTTAAGATCCATGTACTAGAAAATTGGCATACATGAAATAATGAATGCATGTGAGCAACAAACTTGCAGATTTTATAAACATTAGTAAAGATGAGATGAAAGTACAGTACAGAAACCGGTTGGTTGATTCCATCTGAGAAAGTGCAGCTACATATGGCAACTATCATGCATGCATCGATGCAGATTCGACTCGACTTGCTTAGCACAAGGGAAGCTGTCTCTCACCATAGAAAAAAGTGATGAATCCGTATTTCATATTCCCCTGGTTTGGAATCCCAACTGTTGGGAGAATACCAAAATGCAAACCAAAATCAGATTCGATGTATAACTTAAGCGTGGGTGTTTCAAACTGTTCCACTAAAACCTTTCCCTTCAATCAATTATTCTTTCTACCAAAATACGATGAATGATAACCACCAATAAACAACGGAAATAATAATATGAGACACCAAAACTTCTAACGTGGAAAACTTTTTAAGGATAAAAACCACGAGGCCTATCACCCGACCCAAGGCAAAATCCACTATATCAAAAGGTTCGTACAATCGAAGATAACCACAACCAAAAGGGCTATCAAACTCCACATCTAATTACAAGAATCGTACTCCATTCACAATAGATCTTCCAACTACAAACAACCCATTCCAAATCCCAATCAATAAGATTCAAAATCGAATCCAAACAAGTAAATAGTGAGAAATTAACGATACCAAGAAAAACATCCAAGGATGATGAGACCGTTGATCGAAACCGACTTAAAGAAATTCTCTCTTTCTTTTCGATTCTTTCGGGTGCGTAGATACCGATTGTTCCTCTCTCAAAATCTCTACGCCCAAAATGACCCCTTTCCCAACTATGAGGACTAGGGCAACAATGGGCAAAAGTGGGCTCTTAACTTTTTTTGGGCTAACTTGAATTGTTGGGCCTCCACACATAGAAGGAACCCAAACCCAACAATTCTCCCCCTTCCGACTATGTGGAGGAGGCAACCAACCCTGCAGCCATCCTGCAGAACTCGAACTTGTCTCTTGGAAGACTTTTAGTGCACATATCCGCGCCATTTTCATCCGTGTGGATTTTATCAACTTCAATCAACTTAGAATCCAAAACCTCTCTAATCCAATAATACCTTGTATCAACATGTTTCGATCTCCCATGAAATGTCGGATTCTTCCTAAGATGGATCGCACTTTGATTGTCGCAATACAAAATATACTTTTGTTGAGTGAAACCGATTTTACTCACAAAAGTCTTCAACCATAATAACTCCTTGCAAGCTTCGGTAGCAGCAATAAAATCCGCCTCGGTTGAAGAGAGTGCAACACATTTCTATAATCGGGACTACCATGAAATAGCTCCCTGCATATCCAGAAGTACACTTCCTATTATCAATATCTCCAGTCATATAAGAATCTATATAACCAACAAGCTCCGGCTTACCAATACCAAAGCACAACCTCATACTCGAAGTTCCCCGAAGATATTTCAGAATCCACTTCACTGCACTCTAATGTTCTTTGCCCGGATTCGACATGAATTGGCTGACAACACCAACTGCGTGAGCTATGTCCGGACGAGTACACACCATTGCGTACATCAAACTTCCAACTTTTGAGGCAGAAGGCATCCGCTGCATATCTTTCTTTTCTTTCTCAGTAGAAGGACATTGTTTCACACTCAATTTAAATGAAGCAGCAAACGGGGTAGAAGTAGCTTTGGCCTTGTCCATGTTGTACCGCTGCAACACTTTTTCGATATATTTTTCTTGGGATAACCATAACTTTTTCTTTTCCCTATTCCGAGAAATATACATCCCAAGAATACTTCTAGCTGGCCCCAAATACTTCATCGCAAAATGCTTGCTCAACTCTTTCTTCAAATCATTTATTTTCAAGGCTAAAGAGCCTACTATGAGCATATCATCTACATAAAAAAATAAAATGATAACATCAATACCTAAGAACTACTGCATGAAAACACAAGGGTGGCATCAGTCTTCTTGTACCCTTGTTGAATCATAACATATTTGAATTTCTTGTACCACTGCCCCGAAGCCTGTTTAAGCCCATAGAAGTTCTTTTTCAATTGACATACATGGTTCTCCTTCCCTTTCACCACAAAACCTCTAGGTTGCTCCATATAAATTTCTTCTTCGAGGTCACCGTGAAAAAATGTCATCTTGACATCCATTTGCTCCACTTCTAAGTCAAGATAAACAGCCAAACCCAAGATAACACGAATAGAAGTTATCTTGACAACCGGTGAAAAAATCTCCTCAAAGTCAACACCATATTTTTTACTAAAGCCCTTCACAACAAGTCTGGCTTTATATCGAGGAGAGGATGAGTGTTCTCCATGCTTCACCTTATAGATCCACCTATTTTCTAAGGCCCTTCTATCACTTGGAAGCTCAACCAACTCATACGTGTCATTAGCATGTAAGGATTGCATTTCATCCTTCATAGAAACAATCCACTTTTCTTTTTCAGGACTTTGGATGGCTTCTTCATAATCCTCGGGCTCTCCATTCTAGGTCAAGAGCACATACTCCGTAGATGAATTCCTAGTGGAGGGTTGTCTATCCTAGGTACACCTTCTCAATGAAGATTCTGCCATATCCATCGAATTCTCGGAATAATCCGGACCAACATCAACATCATCAACGGCATCATTGCCGACATACTGATGTTCATCACCACCCACTTTTGGTGTAAGAACTCGATCTAAATAAATCAAGTCTTTATTTTGAACATTTGGCTTATAGTTCGTCTCAATGTCCTCAATCGTTTGATCCTCCATGAATACAACATCACGGCTTCAGACAAGCTTTTTCTCAATAGGATCATAACACCTATAGCCAAATTCATCATCACCATAGCCAATGAAAATGCATTGTTGAATCTTAGCATCCAACTTGGATCGTTCATCCTTAGGCACATGAACAAAACACTTGCATCCGAAAACTCTGATGTGATCATAAGATACTCTGAACATCTGTCTGCAAAGCCACTGTAGGAGTTAGATTGGTAATTCGAGCATCTGCATATAATGCCTTACCCCAGAAATGTTAAGGCAATTTAGCATCCGAAAGCACGCATCTGACTCTCTCTATCAACGTTCTATTCATCCTTTCTACCAAGCCATTTAATTGCGGAGTTTTGGGTTCCGTCTTCTGATGTCGAATACCATGCTTTCAACAATAAACATCAAACGGTCCCCAATATTTGCCTCAATTGTTAGTCCTGATGCATTTCAATTTCTTACCAGTTTCTCTCTCAACAGAACATGAAACTCAACAAAAGCATCAAGAACCTGATCGTTCGATTTCAACCCTCGAACCCATAATTTTCTTGAGTGATCATCAATAAAGGTAACAAAATAAACTGCACCTCCGAAAGACTTTACCTTCAAAGGACTGCACACATCTAAATGGATCAATTCAAGAATATCTCTTTTCCTAGTAGGAGGGTGATGAACAAAGAAAACCATCTTTGCTTTTCCACAAAGCAATGTGAACACTTATCAAGCTAAGCACGTCTAACACCAGGGAGTAGATTCTTTCTCGCCAAAGTATCGAGTCCTTTTTCACTAGTGTGACCCAATCTCCTATGCTATAAGCTTGAAGAACTCCCATTCTGAACTCCATTAACACCATTCGCAGAAATAATAGCATGAAACCAATATAAACTGGATTTTTTCTTACCCTGAGCAATTACCATAGAACCTTTTCTAATCTTCCATTTTCCATCACCGAAATGGCAGGAATATCCATCATCATCCAACCTACCAGTGGAAACTAGATGTAGTCGAACATCGAGAGCATGCCTCACATCCTTCAGCACTAGTGTGTATCCACTACTGGTATCCAAACACATTGTTCATGTGCCTGCTACTTTCTCCAAGCCATCATTTCCTATCTTCAAGACTCCAAAAGTCTCCCGGAGTATATGATGTGTAGAAATCCCTATTGGCAGTCACATGGAATGCAGTCTTCGAAGCATATAAGCTTTCCAGCTTGTCCCACAATATTTTGGCATTGGTCTCATTCACAATGTTATTCAAAACATTGTCCTCTACCCATTGCCTTATGAAACCACATACTTGTTGATGCTTCAATTCCCAATCTGAATCACCTGTTTCAACATCAGGCTTTGCCGCAGAAAATACTGGCCCATGTAACTTCTTCACATATAGAAGATCAGTTATCTTCCCTTTACAAACATGATAGTTTGTTCCATCTAAGTAAACCATTCTTCCCAAGTTCACATCTATCCTGCAATGGTAAATAACACTCTAAAACAACCTTGCCCTGATACCATTTATGTTGTGAGAATATCGGAAGAAAACCAAAATGCAAACCAAAATCAGATTCGATGTACTCCTTAAGCGTAGTCACGCCTAAGGGGGTGTTCAAACTGTTCTACCAAAACTTTCCCTTCAATCAATTATTCTTTGTACCAAAATACGATGAATGATAACCACCAATAAACAACGGAAATAACAATATGAGACACCAAAACTTTTAACGTGGAAAACTCCTTCAAAATGAAGGATAAAAACCACGTGGCTTATCACCCGACCCAAGGCAAAATCAACTATATCAAAAGGTTCATACAATCAAAGATAACCACAACCAAAAGGGCTATTAAACTCCACATCCAATTACAAGAATCGAACCCCAACCACAATAGATCTCTCAACTACAAACAACCCATTCCAAACCCCAATCAATAAGAATCAAAATCGAATCCAAACAAGTAAATAGTGAGAAATCAACGATACCAAGAAAAATATCCAAGGATGATGAGACCGTTGATCGAAACCGACTTGAAGAAATTCTCTCTTGCTTGTCGATTCTTTCGGGTGCGTAGATACCGATTGTTCCTCTCTCAAAATCTCTACGCCCAAAATGACCCCTCTCACAACTATGAGGGCTAGGGCAACAATTGACAAAAGTGGGCTCTTAACTCTTTTTGGACTAACTTGAATTGTTGGGCCTCCATAGAAGGAACCCAAACCCAACACCAACTTCTTTTACTTTTCCAAATTTCCCGAGGAGGACAGGACAACAAATGCCTGCACTGCATTAGATACCCAAACAAAATATAGATATGTAGTATAATGATCTCGCTCACTTGAAAAATATTCTTCGACATCTTTCGCCCGAATAGAGAGTGTCACATAAACTTGGCAGTAGCCTGCAAAGCTTGACCCCTGCCTCTCTCTTTCTTCATTGACTTTAGGTATGTCGACAAGTCATCTTCCAAGATTGTAGATTCCATCCCGTGCCACCTGTATGTAAAGACAAGAACAATAACTAACACACATTCCAGAACTTCTCCAAACATATATAGAAAAGGTATTTTTGGTAACTAAACTTGTCTGTCACTTTAATGCTCTTCATTTGACGAATAAGTTCTGTCAGTGTGCAGCAGATTTTCCTGAGTTTATGCGGCTCTTTCATACAAGCCTGGACAGGGAGACTCTTGCAGTATTTGTCATGATACAAAATTGGTAAGCAAGAGAGCGGGACCGGGATCCCTCTTCTAATTTTCAGAATCTCAACAAACTGTTCCTCAAGCTGCAAGGTGTATCTGTCGGACGAACTAGTGGAATTATCTGCTACACCCTTTGGCTGGTTAATGATCATAAATTTACCATTCTGTAATTTGAGTAAGTGCAGGAATTTGCAGTCGCCACAATGCTCACAATAACCCTTACTATAGTTTTCACAGATTGGAGCAGATAACTGGTCAGAGGAGTGAGGGTACATGTCCAATGAAGACGCTTGATGATGCTTTACAGCTTGCGGAACATAGCTCTGCACATTCAAATTCAATCCAGTAGCTTTATGGCATCCAAGTTGGTTTACAAGTGGCGTGACCTGTTGCTGCTGGCCTGTCGGAGCTTGAGGGACCTGCTGTGCAATTTCATGTGAAAATCCTGCAGAGGATGCCGGAAACCATGGCAAAGATGGCGAAAACTTTGTAGGACAATTCAAAGCAGTCAAAACATAGGCAGGGACAGGTGGTTTTGGAGGCACGCAAAGCTCTTGCTTGATATTTTCGATCAAGGACTGGATTACATTATCCGGGGCAGGGGCATGATGGATCATGTCGACCTCACTCTGATCTTTCAAGAGAAGATAACCCATGATCTTGGAGACATGTTTTGGGTCTAGTTTCTGTATTCTTTGGAACAACATCATTGATAACTCTGATTTGTCCATCTCTTGGTTCCAATTCAACTCTGATGAAGCTCAGACAAACAAAGGAAGTGCTGCCTCAGATGTATATATGCACAAATTACACAAATATGAGTTTGGAAGAATGCCTAATGTAAAGTGAATTATGCAACCAATTCTCCGTGTTAAAATAATGGCAAAATTGCTTATAATCCATATGTAATTTAAAAATATAAAAGAGTCTCCTGCAATTTTTAAATCACAAGTGAGAATGTATCGACTTTCCAAACCACAGGTGAGTTTAAGTAATTTTGCCTAAAATAATTTGCCGAAATCTCATGATTAAATATTGCGCGAGCTTAACTCAATATACTCGAATCAAAGTCTAATGCAAAACAGCATAATCTAATGAATATGAGAGAATCTAATGTGTAAACCAACTAAATCTAATATAAACCAATCAAAACTAATTCAATATAAAAAATATCTCAACACTAAAAAGATCTAAACTATGTTTTCATATCCAAATTCATATATAGATAGGGGAGAATTAACTAAGAAATATTGTATTCTACATCAGTTACATGCAAGTGCAGAAGATCCTTTTTCCCCAAAATAGAGCAAGACAGAAACCCCTGAATAATCAAACTGACTAAATTTAAAAAAGGGAAACACTTATCATATTATTAAGCATACAAATTAATTAAGAACTAGTTCGTTCTGTTCGATTAAATTGAAGAAGAAATACAAAATCTCCTCTGCATGAACATTCACGTCAAATTGAAACAAAAAATCATTTCATCATTCTAGCGAAAAAAGGAACAGGTAATCACAGAAGCAGCAGAAACCCGTGAAATTAAATCGCGCGAAAACCCCCAACGTCGGTGCCGCCCCCAAAACAAAACCCAAAAAACACAAATCAGAAAAAAAAAAAAAAAAAGTAATAATAAATAGAGCAATGGTTGGAATTACAGTTACCCACCGAAACAAGGTGAGCAGGATCGAGTGGATCGTCGTTTCAGCCAGGCGCAAGTGAAGAAACCTCCGATTGATTTCTCGAGGAAACTGCGGGCTGGCATTGTGAGGATTGTTGTGGGTATAACATAAATGCGGGCAGGAGGGGATGGTCTGCAGCAAGACGACGGACATTTTAAAAAAAATTGGTCTAATTCAAACTCAAACGGTGTTTTAAAATTCTGGCCCTCAAAACTAGTTTTAAAAATTATTATATTTTTATGTTGTAGTAGTTTTTAAAACTTTTTGGGTTTAAAATTATATACCTTCTCAAAACATCTAAAATATAAAAAATAGTAGTTTCAACCATTAATACAGGGAAATTATAGAAGTTATCAAAACTACTATAATTGGTAATGTAAGAGGTTTAAAAACTTTTTTTTATGAAAAATAGTTATAAAAACTCTTATATTGTTTATTATATGAGTTTTGAGAACTTTTATATTTTTAATCTTAATTTACCTCACGGTTTTGTTGCATTTCATTTTCAGGTATTATTTGTTTCACTAAATTATTTTATAGTTTTCATATAATATTTTGTTTTATATTGTTGGTAGGCAATATTCTGTTTTGTATTGTATATTGTATTTTCAGGTATTTATTGTTTAGTTATTATTGTATTTTTGTTTGTAATTTTATAACATCTTAGGTGTTTTTTGGTATTATTTATAAGGTTTATATTGATATATTATTTAAATGCATGATGTATTTATGTCTATTTCTTATTTTAATATTTTTATATATGGCTTATTTTTTTAATATATTAATTTTATTCTTATTAGTATTTATTTAATATATATTTTTTTAAGAAAACAGATGACAAGCAGTGGCTAGAACAATATTGATATTCTGCTATATTGAGATGGTAATATTATACGAAAGTCGGATACAATAGAATATAATTGTGATCCACAGTGTATGACAGCTGTTCGGCGAGATAGTACATTTGAAGATTTAGACCGGATGCACTATTCTTTGATTTTGAAAATGCCTTATAGTTGGACGAATTGACAAGATAATCAGAGAATGAGGCTTCTTATTATGAATGACTTCAATCTGCAGCACTTTTTAAATTCAGAAAATAGTTATCAATGTTTGGAGTTGTTTGTTGAATTTCAACTTAGTGAAACAAGTGCGGTTGTAGAGACAGCATATTAAATTCCAACATAAGGCTTGAGCAAATAGACGATGATATACACATATTAGATGCAGATTGTCAAGGAGTTGGAGAAGATAAATCTAGTGAATCAGAATCAATTTCATGCTCAGATGATGAAATAGAGATATTTGGAAATTGTGAAAAAGGGGTTGTGGATGCTACTGCATTATGGAAAGAGTCAGGGCCATCGGGATCTCCTAAATTATGTACAATTCTACATTTAGGTAGTCAAAATGAATATCAATTGATTGAATATTTTCAGAAGTTGCCTGAGGAGGAGTTTCAACAAGACACATATGACAGCCACACAACCATGAACAGTTGGAGTAAAATCATGTTTACCCCGAGCCCATCTATAATAACAAAATACAGTTTGAGGATTAAAAATACAAAATATTTTAATTAAGAACTACTTGTATAAATCACAATACCTAGCTCCATAAGGCGCAGCAGAAAGCATTACACCATTAGCAAGCATTTGAGGATCGACAGCAATAAAGTTTATTGATTTAATTCGAGGAGCCAACATATTTAATCGAGACCATGCTCAAATCTAGAAAAAAAAAATAAAATACTTAAACAACAAAAATAGTGTTCTTAAATAAATTTAAGATGTCAATTTATATGAATATACCTGCAACAATGTGAGGGGGCCACTAAGTTTTTTTCTTTTTACTCCAATAACTGCTAAACAGAGATTATGATATAGACATGCAAGGCAAGCACTTCCCCAACTATACTTATTAGAAAGGTCAAGTTTCTGCAGATATGACAAGTAAATCAACCGGACCCTACTACCATCTGAATTCGGAAGTATACTACCCATAATCATCAATAGCATAAATCCACGTCCCCAACACTCTACTTTTTCTTCAGGACTATCATTATCGATTTGAAACTCAGCACTCTTCAAATGATCTTCTAAAGTAGAGTGCAAAATCCATGGTCCATGCTTGAAAGATTCTGGGTCAAGAGACAATTTTAACAAATCCATACAAATCTTTGAAGAGTGCTCTATGGTCTGTCGAGATATGGCATCACTGACAACATGTTTATCATCGAGGGGTAACTGATATATCATAGCAAAATCTTCTAATGTAATTGTTGCCTCGCCAAATGTGAAATGAAATGTATGTGTTTCAGGACGCCATCGCTCAACTTATTTTTAATAAAAATATTTGTAGTAGTTTTGAAAACTACTATATTTAATAATTTAGAAGTTTTTAAAACTTCTAAACTTAAAAGTTTAGGAGTTTTGAAAACTACTACAATATAAAAATATAGTAGTTTTCAAAACTGGTTTGAGGGGTACAATTTTAAATCATGGTTTGACTTAGGCCATTTTTTTAAAAAGCCCCAAGACGATAAGGCGGCAACCCGACAGGGGATTTTTAAAATAATGTCCTAAATCAAAACTATTTTTAAAAAGATAGACCTCAAAGTAGTTTTCAAAACTAAATTAAGTAGTTCCCAGAACTCCTTGATTGTAAATTTAAGGAGTTATGGGAACTTCTTTTTCATTTTAATAATAATTTAAATAAATAAATTTACCCTAATTTTAATTCCCCCACCCATTTCTCAATCCTCTCCCCAACCCATTTCTCAATCCCGCAACAGAATTCTCAATCCCTCCCCAACCCATTTCTCAATCCCGCGACAGAAGCTTTCGATTTCTCCAACCCATTTCTCAATCCCCGTAATCGAACCGAATCATTTTGTGCCTCCACCAGAATCGCTGCTCTTCCCGTGCCTCCCCACCGAAGCGTCACTGCCGTCGACGACTGCCGTGGCCTGAACACCACCGCTGTTGCTCCTAAAATTCTACCGGCGGGTCAATCCCCTTCTTCCTCCCCTTTCTTCTTCCTTCAATTCCTAAAGTACTTGAGGTAATTTATTTGATTTTGATTAATTTTGTGTTAGGGTTCTAATTTATGGACTGTGTTGGTGTAATTTGGTTTTTTAATATTGTGGTGGGGGTGGAGGCAGAGTTAAGAAAATACAAATCTTTATTTCTATTTTATATGGATTTTTATTTCATTACTTTATTCGTAATTTGCTATATTATTTCCATTTTTACGGATAATATTATGCATAAATATTATGATTTAAGGATAATGCTATGCTTAATATTATGATTTAAGGATAATATTATGCATAAATATTTCCATTTTTGATTTGGTCCATAAATATTATGCTTTTATAAGGATAATAAATTTGTGTATTGTTATTATCTTCAGATTATGTTTTCATATCGAGATGGATTGTCCGGCCCTACTAATGATCGATTGCTTCATCTTCAATCGACACATCGTTCTGAACGTATTTGGAATGGTGAGTTGATTGATCATAAGTTTAGTCTTGTTTGTCCCGAGAGATATTGGACTAGTATATCCTTATTATGTCATCCCAAGGTTCTCGAAATATTGCATCGAATGGGACTTTATGGGGTATATAGAGTTGGACATGTTAAGCACGATCCTGGTCTTCTTACAACATTAGTCGAGCGTTGGCGTCCTGAAACACACACTTTTCATTTTACATTTGGTGAGGCTACAATCACATTAGAGGATGTTGCTATGATATATCAATTACCTATTGATGGTAAACCCATTGTTAGTGCTGTCACGTCTAGGCAAACAGAGAAGAAGCTTCTACCCTATGCATAGAGTTGTTACACTTGCCTCTTACACCGGAATACTTCAAACATGGACCTTGGATTTTACATTCTACTTTAAATAATTGTTTGAAAAATTTTCAAATTGATAATGATAGTCCTGAAGAGGTAGTAGAGTGTTGGACTCGTGGGTTTATGCTACTTATGATTATGGGTAGCATACTTCCCTCTTCAGATGGTAGTAAGGTTAAACTAACTTACTTATCATATATACGAGCACTTGACCTCTCTGAGAAGTATAGTTGGGGCAGCGCTTGTCTTGCATGCTTATATCATAATCTTTGTTCGGCTGTTATTGGACAAGATAGAAGGAAGCTTAGTGGTCCACTCACATTATTGCAGGTATAATATGTTAAAAAGAAAAAATGTTATGACTATATGTTTAAATATATTATTATAACATGTTAAATATTTTATTCACGATATACTTTGTTATTTCAGGTTTGGGCATGGTCTAGACTATACATCCTAGCTCCTCGAATTAAATCCGTTAAATCTATTGATCTTGACCCTCTGGTACTTCCTAATGGTCTAGTACTACCGGCTGCTTCTTATGGAGCTAAGTACGTAAATTATTTATATTTTATTACGATCATCATTATATTAAAATTTTATTATTTTTGGTTCTTAATATAATGTATAATATCTATTTGTTTTGTAGATGGAGTCGTGGTAAACATAATTTTGCACTAACCGTGCATAATTGTGTATCTGCTATTCGGGATATTCTTGATCATGAAGGAGATGGACAGGTATTTTTATTAATACTGCAAACTTTTTTGTGGTATAATCATTTTAATCAATTTATCTATATAATGTTGTATTTATTTTTCATACAGTTTAATTTGCGGCTTTATCACTACAAGAAAAAATCATTTTTGTAACAAAATTTTTTTGTCTCTAAATATACTTTTTCCATTACTAATAACATTAGAGACGGAATTAGTAATAGAATTACGTTAACTACGTGAACTTTAGGGACGGAATTCCGTTACAAATATATTATTTTTTTGTAGTGTATGAACCTAACTTGTACAATTCCTTACCGCATTCTTGTCCTTCAACCTTGTTTCGGTACAAAGGAACTTTATTTTACGAGCTCTGCGTCGAGCATCTTCACTTAGATAGAGTACTTCGACAGTTAGGTTTAATTCAGCATATTCCGGATAATCCATCGATAGTGGAGAATAGGAACACACATAGTTCTTCAAGAGGCTCAAATGCTAGAAATTGGTTGCGAATTTATCAAATATATATTCAA